CCATGATTATTGATTCCTAAACCATATAGATTATTTTCCCATCAAATTAATTTAATTGTATTTGTTTTATGATGAAAATTATTTTAAGATTATTATTTGAATTTTTATGAACCCCTGGATATTTTATTTATAATTTCTGGATTTATAAAATTAAAGATATTTATTTTACAATAGTTTAAATATTCAAATAATATTTCAATTTTTTTTTATTAATTTTAAGTATATAAAAATATTATGGGGGCCTATTGTGCACATGGGCCCACCATATTTCTAGAAGATGGGGCACATGAGTGCTTCCCTTGGGTGGCACGCCCACCCTTATTCTCTTTCCTACTTTTTTGTGATATGACATGTGGCCATATAGTTAGAAGATATTGCTAAATATTGAATTGATATATCTTTGAAGGATTTTGTGGAAAGATTGAATAGACTTGTATTGTTTTATGATATGCACAATATTTTGATTAGATTTAATTTATTTAATTTTTATTGATATGAACATAGTTTAGGAAATGGGGATAAAAGTTCATGCACCTTTCATAACGTTGTTGGCCCATCTATAGAATAGATATCTTAAATCTCTTACCCCACAAGTCACCTAAGATCAATGATTCATATTCAATCTCACAAGAAGAGGCAAGCCAAGGAAAACCCTAAAAAACCCTAATCTTAGTCAAAACCTATAAAAAAAGATTGTCTCTACCCAAATATCTCTACACCTTATTTTTTGTACCTAATTCTTATATTTCTCTCTCATATCTCATAAAAGGGCACACCCCACTTAGAATTTCTCTTTCTCTTGAGAAAAACTTTTCTCTCATGAAAGCCAAAAGGGGCACGCACCACTCTTTCAACTTTGATCTCTCTCTCTCTCTCCTACATTGTGAAAGAACCTAAGGGTTTAGGTTATGGAGTTATTCTCTCTATGGATTTATAGCTAGAGGTTTTAGGATTTGGCAAAAAGATAATCCATCTATCTCAAACTAGGTTGCTAAGAGAATTCCCTAGGATTTGAGTTTGTGATAAAGGGTCAATGTTCTATTAGTGTAGTTTGGCCTAAACTTGCTTTCCCGGTTAAGATTGAAGGTTGATTATTGATCCCGCACCATCGGATGGTGGTGACTCGGTATCGGGTGTAATAAGCCCGGTTGAGGTAATCTCCGGTACTCTTCTTTTCTTTTCTTGCAATTTTATCTTTTATTCTCAAGCATAGTGCATAGTTGTT